ACAATCCATTATCCACCCATCCATCCACCCACCATCCACCCATCCATCCACCCATCCACCCACCATCCACCCATCCACCCATCCATCCACCCATCCACCCATCCATCCACCCACCATCCATCCATCCATTCATCCACCCACCACTCACCCACCTTCAGGATTCACTGGGCAGCACCTGTGTGTGGCCTATGCAGTGCCGACACACAGAGCGGAGCCCGTTGGGGGGTGGGGTGTGAAGTGCCTACCGGACTGAGAGCAGACAGCTCGTCCCTCTGGTGAGGGCTGCGGGGCAGAGCTGGGGACCCCGTCCTGCCCGAGACTCAGCCCTCCGGGGGCCAGCGGAGTCATGGCCGGCGGCACTCAGAGAGTCTGGGGTTGGCCTCGGAGACAGCGTTCAGATCCCAGCCCCGCTCTGACTCGGGGGCTGACCCGGGCACCAGGCGGGCTTGTTGGCTGTGGCTCTCGCTCAGCACTCGGATGCCAGGCCTGGGCCTCGGCCTGCAGCCCGGACAGCTCATGGCACCGTCTTGTCTCCACAGAGCGACCTGCTGGATGTGACCCAGATCCTCAAGGACTTGGCCGCCATGGTGTCGGAGCAAGGAGAGGCCGTTGGTGGGTGCTCCACCCCGCCCGCCACTGCTCCCCGTCCAGCTGCCCCGGGAGGAGCCAGGCCAGGGCGGGTTCTGGGGTCTGAGCGTCTCCTCCCCTAGGAAGCTGGGGGGCGGAGCTCATACAGGAGGGGCCCACCCATTCTACTCCGGACGGTCCTGGCCTCAGTGCCCCCGGGGTTCCTCCCCCCCAGGGCCGCAGGAGGGAGGACAGGAGCCCAGTGCTGGGGCGGGGCGGGGGGCACCTGAGGTCCTGATTGTGCTGCTGGTGGGTCCTGTGGCCTCTTCTCCAGGAGCGGTGCATGTGGGGGCAGCACCGCGGGAGGGGCTATGTCCTGCTGTTTCCAGTTCCCTCCTGTAAGAGCCTCTGGCCCCCCTGGGCCGGCCCCCACACTGAGTGGTCCCCCCCACTGAGTGGTCCCCTGACACTGGTGCTCAGGGGGGCTCCCTGCTGCTCCCCTGGGCCCAGGTGCCCAGAGCCAACACGGTCAGCACCCGGCCAGACCCAGGCCCCCCTGCACCCGCTCCTTGGCTGAGCGAGGCCCCCCTGGGAGCCCACACCGTGCCTGAGCCCTGCCTGCAGCAGGCTCCCCTCTCCGGCCCGCAGCTCTGTGCACGTCCGAGACTCAGGGGAGCCCTGCGACCTCCTGGTGCCGTGTGCGCCCCGGGAGGAGTAAGTGGTGAGGGCGTCACCTGCCCTGGGCCTGTCCCCCCTCAGGGCGCCCTCTGCCTCCAACCCGCCTGTCACCATCCTCCCGACACTTGCTTCTCGGCCTCAGCCTGGGAGTGGCCTGGCAGTGCTGTCACAGGGAGCGAGAGGGATGGGACAGGACGTCCCGCTGAGGCTGAGGGGCTGGTGGCAGAGATGACCGCAGAGGCCCAGGCCTACAGCTCCTCCCTCGGGGTCCGCACTGGCCTGGGCTCGGGCAGGTCACCCTGCAGGCCAAGCAGCCGTGGACTGTGCCGGGGCGGCCACAGTGCCTGGGCCTGAGGCTCTGAGTGGTAGCTCTCCGGTCTCCCCTGTGCCCCATGCATCACGGGGTGCACCCCATGCTCTGTGCATGTTTGGGAGGATGGTGCTGAAGGGGGTTCTCCTTGGCCCCCCAGAGGCCTGGCCAAGTCTGAGTGCCTGCACAGGGCTGAGTGACGGGCTGGCCCTGCGGAGCCACCCTGGCCGGCCCGGGACGGTCGGGAGGAGAGGAAGGCGATGGCCGGGGCTGATGAAGCGCCCGTCCTGTGGGGGCTGCAGCCCACCTGGCAGCCCCTGGGGCTCAGGGAGGGAGCTGTCCTGCCGGGTTGTCGTGAATGGTCCAGGGTAGCTGCGGCTGAGGCTCCCCCACCTGTCCCC